CGGGCCAGACAGGTGCCTCCCTCCGCGGCATGGGCTCTCGGCGCCTCACCTCTGCCACTGCCACGCGGGCCGCCGCCCTGCTGTTCGGCCTGGTCCTCGCCTCCTGCCACCCGGCGTGCTGCGCAGGTAGATCCTGAGCTTTATTCTCGGCCATGCGGGAGGGGGAGGGAGGTAGGGGAGGACGAGGATTCCTTGCGTAGGGTTGGTCCTGCACAGAGCGAAGAGGAAACAACCTTCTTCTGGAAAGGCTTATGCAGGCAGCGGGGTGGAAACAGGGTGGGGTGTCAGGTTTGCCCAAGCCTGAGATCAAATGCTCCACTCAAGTCTGACTGGACACACACAGCGGAGAGAGAAGAGAGGAGGGGAGGGGACAGGAGAGGAGCCAAACTGGTCTAAAGTGATACCTTTGGTCCAGGGTTTCCCCACACTTCTGAAACAATCCTGTCCTGACTCGGGTCGTTGTCCCTGCTGCCCCCGGGTCGCTAAGCCACAAAGTCTGAATGCTGCCATCACTGCAGGTACCTTTGCAGCCTCTCCAGGACCTCACCCCACATTCTTGCCCTCCTCAATGGCCCTGCACCTCCCAGCAGGCCCAGCAGGGCACCTCCTCACACTCCCGCTTCTGGCTTCGATCTTGTCACACCCCAACAGGGCCCAAACACACCCTCCCCTCCCAAGATCCCCACTAGTCTGCCGGATTATCCTCCCACAGCCTGTACCCCAGCTGCTGCCAGGGGACTCCGTGTGCAGATATGGGCCCCAAAACCACCAACCCCAGAGTCCACCCCAGCTTTGGTAACTACCCGCTGTGTGACTCTGGCCAAATTACTTCACCTCTCTGTGCCCAGTTTCCTCATTTATAACCCAAGGAGAAACACAGAGGTGACGCCTAGGTTTGTTTGCAAAGAGGAAGTGAGATGACTGATTGGAGAGAACAATAAAACAGTACGTAGTAAACACACTATGAACGTTAGCAATTATTTTATCAAGTTGGTCTTACTTCAAACCAGCCTCAGCTCTCACCACATAAGGGACTTTGATTTTTTTCTGCTTACCCTTACAACACCTCACTTATTAAAATGGTTCAAGTTTTTTTTGACCAAAGTAACCACACTGACCTGTGGGATCTTCCTCGTGGGCTGAGTTCCCCGCTAGCTCTGCTTATCAGGGAGGAAGGTGATGTCTGGAATTCTCACCTGGGCTGTTCCACTTGAACCATATAAAACTGCTCCTATGGAATGATATTTTACCTATAAAATGGTAATTTCATATGGGTTAGCCTAATACTAGCATTGATTAACCCGGTGTTTGCCGTTCACTTGCTCTGGATGGGGGAACATTGCCACGCTAGCTGTAGAGGGGAGATGAAAGTCAGACCAAGGAAGTTATTTGGTGTAGGAGGAAAATTTAGATGTTGATATCAGCTTCTCCAAAACAAAGCCCTAAGCCCTTTAGTTGTAAATAATTTACTGTAACAACCAGATTGCATCAAGGCAATTACCATACCTCAAACAGGACAGCCGAGCAGCTTGGAAATTGGATGGCATAAAATTAGTCTGGGCAGCATTTTCCTGGCTTTGGCTAAATGATAGCTTTCTTCCCAATTGTCCTCCTCTGTGACCAGGCACCCCAGGCAGCGCATCCTGATGCCAGATGGCGGGCACGGAGAGCCCTCTGTCTTCTTCATGGCCACAATAGTCGTCCTCCTCTTCCTCCTCTTTTACTCCCAAGGAAGCAAATTGAACAGCTGTATAATTTCCAGAAATGTTCTTAAAAATCAGTCTCTTGATTTTGATCTTCCTCAATCGGCATTATGGCTAAAAGAACTTTCTTTGATGGCAGGAATGTTCCACATTTGTTCTGCGTTTCCAACACGGCGGCCATTGGCCACGTGCAGCCATGAACACTTGAAATGTGGCTAATGTGGCTAAGAAGCTGAATTTTAACTTGAGGATGTAAAAAGAATTGAGATATGTTATGACCATGTACCAACTCCTCACAATAAATGCAATTATTACGTATCACAAATAGGTATTATAAAAATTTTAAATAAGTTAATTTTAATAAATTTAAATAGGCATTGATGGCGAGGGCTTGGTATCAGACAGCATGGATCCACCTCACTGTCAGTGATGGGTGAACGTGGGTCTGTGGCTTTTCTTCCTCTGATAGTGAGGGTCACCTCCATCACCCAACCTGTCTCCCAAACTTATAGGCCTTTTAGAATTCCTGCCAAGGTTCTTTTCTGTCAACCTGCTTTATGAATCAAGGGACAATTCTCAGTGATGCATATTGTGGCAATCTCTGGACTTGCTCGTAAGAATTTAATTTTTGTTGATAACTATGTGCCTGGGTAACATTATAACCATCATAAACAAAGAATCAGTATCATGTTTTATGAGTATTTGTTCAAGTTTTTTTGAAAGAGATTGAAGACAGTAAGACTTTCCAGATATTTCAGCAATTGTTTCAATACATACTAGACAGACCATGTTTTTCTGGGGTTTTTTGTTTGTTTTGTTTGTTTTTGAGACAGGACTTCATTATGTAGATCTACACGGTTCTTGAATTCACTGTGTAGCTCAGGCTGGCCTCAAACATACAACAATCCTCCCCTCCAGCCTCTTGAGTGCTGAGATTACAGTTATATGCCACCATGCCTGGTTAGAAAAGTCATGTATAGCTACATCTATCTGTATGGACAGCATCTAAAATACAGTGTTTGGAAAGCTCTACAAAGTAAGCCTGCAGTCACTGAAGAACAATGAAAAATAAAGATAAAGCATGCCCAAATGAGAATATAGTGGTAAGAAAAGAGGAGCGTATTCACTGGTTCAGGCTGCCAAAACAGTTACCATAGACTAAGGACTTCCACAACAGAAAGCTATTTGCTCAAAGCTTTGGAATCTAGAAGTCCAAGATCAAAGTGTCAGCAGGTTTGATTTCTCCTGTGGCTTCCTCTTTGGGCACTGCTGACCTAAGTGTCCTCACTGGGCCTGACCCCCTAAGCCCATTTCACATCTATTCCTTCCAAGTACTTGGTCCTGCATTAGGGAACCCCCACAGGACCTCACTTACCTCTTCGCCTGTCATCTCTGTACCTACAGGGGTTAGGACTTCAGCGTAGGAATTTGGAGGGGACATAGCTAGTTTGTAATAGTGAGTAAGCTTTCTTTGTTGTATAAGAGTCTATTATGCCTATAATAAAACTTCTATAATAATTAAAATGCTCACTACTGATTTATAAACAAGATTTCAAGCCCTATGTCCAGAAAGAACGCTTCCTTCGGCCTTAGACTGTCTTCTATCTTTTTTTTCAGAAGCCAGCAGTAGCAGAAACTCAACCTTGATGGCCCACCATGCAGACCCAGGGACCCCAGAGCACTGCCCCAGTAAGTTTCCCTGCCCTCTGCTCCGCCCCAGGGCTGGTGTAGGAGCTGGCAGGGGACACGAGAGCCCTTGCTGTCAGGTGACTGGTGTCAGGTGGCTGAATGCCTGCCTTGCCCTCCTGAGCCCCAGGAGGCTCATCCCAGCACTGTTTGCTGAGGTCAAAAAGCTCTTTTGGCTTTGATCCCAGCCTGGGCTCATGAGTGCTGGCACTGGTGACTTTAATGACTTGTCCTCTTGTCAGCACTGTAGGTTCAAATACTTGCAGAAGTTTAAAGGTAGGACATCTGCAACAATCACTAGCCCAACTTCTGCCCAAGGCAGGAGCTTGGTTTGGTATCCTTTGCACATTTCTGTTCATCCTTTACTTAGTTTTCTTCAGGCAAGGAACTCAGTAATTCACAAAGCAACCACGGTCACACTAATAGAAAGTTCTGCTTAAAGTGGGGTCCCCTTAAACTGCCCTCCTTGAATGACCAAATATGTTTACTTCTGGATACTGGAAAAGAAAAGCAATAATAGGCAATAATGTG